GGCGACATGCCCACTGCACCGCCCGGGACCCAGTGACATGCCCACCCTACCGCCTGGGACCCGGTGACATGCCCACTGCACTGCCTGGGACCCAGTGACATGCCCACCGCACTGCCCGGGACCCGGTGACATGCCGGGAGGAAACAGCCTTTTGGACCAGGAGAGAGCATGGGCAGCAGCGCAGGCACATGCAGAGCAGGTGACCTTGGCAGCAGTGACCTTCCTCTCCCTGGGAGCCCCGGGGGCCCAGTGAGGCCTCAGGTCATCCAGAGCTGCTCGCCTGGGTCAGCGCCTGGGGTTTCTCCTGGCCACTCGCTCCGACTGCGCTTCAGTTTCTTCAGCCACGAAGTAAAGCTGCTGGTCTCTCCCTCCAATTGGCTGCTTGGTGATGGGGTGGGGTGGGATGAAAAAAGAGTGACAGTGGAAGCCCACACGCAGGGACTGGCCTTGCAGCATTTGAGCCCATTCGGGATGGGTGGAGGGAGATGGTAGGCTGGGGTGGCACAATGCAGGGGGGGCAGTGGATGGAGACTGCAGGCTGGGGTGGCACAATGTACGGGGGGCAGTGGATGGCGACTGCAGGCTGGGGAGGGGTGGGCATACCTAGTGGCTAGCAGGTGAGCGCTCCAGGCGGCTGGAAGCTGGGTGGGGACTGACTTCAATCTCCTCAGGGCCAACCTGAAATGAACTTTGTTACACTTTTGTCGTCATGACTCATAGTTCCTCATGGGACTCTGTTCCCGTTGTATGTGTCATATGTGTGAAGTGATTTGCAACGTGAGACACAGTGACACCCCTTTCCCCAGGGGACAGGGTCGCAGACCCCCCGAAACTGGAGATAGTGCTGCGCCCTGTGTGAGCGCTGCCTCTTCCCCATCCTCGCCTTCTCACGGAGGTGGCCCTGGAGCTCCTCGGGCTCGAACCCAGCACCACTGCTCCCGCTGAGACAAAGACTCAGAGCTCAGTAGTCACCCTGGCGACCGGGCAGCTGCTCAGTGCCCGCAGGCAAGCGGGTGTGCTGGGCACAGGGGTGATGCCCATCCTGGGCAGGACCAGCAGTTGCCATGGGCAACTGAAGCCGAAGATGGAGTGGGGGATCTGCTGCACATTTCCTTCTCAGGATTGTAGACAAAATATTGGAAATGCTGTATTAGGTGATCAATCGATGTCAGTTGCTGCCTTCCCTCCTCCATCCCTCCCTTGTCACTGAGAAAGCAGAGTGGCCACCTTTATCCCTGAGCGTCCAACTGGCTCTGCACCCGATTCTGATTTGTTTGTGGGGGGAGGGGAGGGGGGGTTCCCACCAAGCATCTCAGCCCCGTCACTCTGCCCAGGGACGCACCGCTCACGCAGCAGGAGCGCTCCGCCCACGCGCGCCCCACGTGCCCCACGCACTGCAGATGCCAACAGCCACGGCCGCCTGTGCTCTGGCCAACAGGCTGGAGATGGATGGTCCCACCACCCCTCCCTTGGGTGCAATCACCGTGCCAGCACAGCTCCTAGAACTCGGAGATGCGTGCTGCTCACTAGCTCACAGTTTATCAGGAAAGGACGGAACTCGGGAGCAGCCAGATGGAAGAGGTGCGCCGGGCGAGGCACGGGAAGGGCACGGCTCTCCAGGCACCACTGCCCCCCAACCCCGTGTGCATCACCCACAAGCTCCCCACCCCCGTTCTGTTTGTTTGTTTTGTGGGGGCTTTCTCACACAGCAGGATTGCGTAAACCACTGGCCATTGTGGATGTTCAGCCTCCAGCCTGCCCCTCTCCAGAGCTGGCTCCTCGTGACCAGATGCCATCCTTAGTAGAGGAGCAAAAGTTACTTCACCGATAAAACTGAAGACACCTCTTTACCTCATCACTTAGGAAATCCCAATGGCTTTAGGAGCTCTGTGTCAAACGGGACAAAACCCAAATGTATCTTCTTGTTGTAAAGTCACAATGTCACAGCATCAGTATTTATGGTCACCACAGTGGGAGCAGAATGACAGGAAACAGCCTCTGTGCTCCCTGGGAGTGAACGGTGTGCCAGAGGCTTCTGGTGGACCTGCCTCAGAGGGCCAAGGAGACCACAGGGGAGGCTGGGGGAGCAGGAGACCACGGGGGAGCCTGGGGGGGCCAAGGAGGCCATGGCAGAGCCTGGAAGAGCAGGAGTGTGGGGGCAGCTTGTGGATAAAGAAGAGAGAACAGGTGCACTCTCTGCTCGCCCTTCTTACCATGGTTTTCTAGCATGTACATAGTTGGGGAAAGGGCTAAAACTCAGAGAGCTTCAGGAGGCAGAGTCCGTGAGTATGTGAAACACAGAGACACAGACAGACACAGAGACAGACAGGCAGAGAGACAAAGGTGCAGGGGTGTGTGGGGGGTGGGGTGGGAGGAGGGAACCCCAGCTAGAGTTGCCTACCTTAGTGTTTGAAGAGAAAGGGAGGCTGAGTGACCCAGCCCCTGGCCTCCCAGGCTGAGCGCACCCACCTGTGCAGCTGGCGGCTGTGGGGAGTGCACGGGGGAGGATGCCAGCCAGCTGTCACAGCACAATTCCCTTGAACCCTCACCTTGGGAGCAGGAGCCATGCAGATTACCACATGGTGTGGGCAGACGCTCAGCCGTGGCACGCTGCCCAGACCCTCCCCACTCTGCTGTCTCCCTCCAGCTCCAAGATGCGCCTCTGATCTGCTGAAACATGTTTCTGAACAGAAGAGCTCAGCGCTGTGGGCCAGGAAGTGTGTTCCCAGCTTGGTCGCTGCTGGCCCCTGCTGCCTTTCCTAAGAACTAGAAGGTTCTGGCCTGAGATGCTGAGAGGGAGGCCTGCCTCCTGTAGGCTGACAGTCAAGACCACGGCAGGGTGTGCGCAGCTGGGCTGTTGCCTGGGGCTGAGAGCCTGCCTTCTGCCCTCATAGGAGCCACGGGGTAGCCTGCCACGCCCTCTCAAGGCGATGGGGCAGGCTGGCACTGGAAGGAGGGCCACTGTCAGAGTTCCTGTCACTCCTACCGTCACCTCCAAACCTCGGGAGAGGCGAGATCCTCAGCAGATGAAAGCGATGCATGTCTTATGTCCCTGCTTTTTTCCTTCCCATCCCCTCCACCCCCCTTTGTTGTTTTTGTCCGGTT